TGCCTGCAAGTTAAATAAACCACTTTACGGATTGAAGCAAGCTCCTCAATTGTGGTTCAAGGATATTGATTCTTATTTGAGATCTGATAAGTTAGGCTTTGTACAAAGTGCAGCAGATCTGAACCTTTATCTTTCTTCCAGACACTCCGCTATACTGCTTTTATATGTTGACGATATCTTAATTACTGCACCTACTACTAAGATCAAGGAGGAGATAATGTCAGTTCTACAAGAGCAATTTCGTATGACTGATCTTGGAATAGCCACGCAGTTTCTCGACCAACAAATTCAGGAGTCTCTCGAGTTGGGTACTACGACCCTATTACAAGCTAACTCCATCAATGATCTGCTTTCCAAGTATGGCATAGAAAATGCAAATGGTGTAAACACACCCCTAGAGTCAGTAAAACCTCGCCAGACAGAACTTCAAATGGACTCCGTACCAATAAATCATGATCAAATTGATTCCGCACTGTCTTCTGAGGAGCAAAGACAGTACCAATCAATTGTGGGAAGCATTATGTGTATAATGCTGGGGCCACATCCGGATATCTGCTATGCTATCTCATACCTGAGCCAGTACAATACCAATGCTACCCAGTTGTATCTGCTTGCCTTAAAAAGACTTTCATGGTATCTGAGACAAATGTCAGAATACTTTCTAGAATATCATTCTACAGAGTATCAGAGTAGACTAGAAGCATCCTCTTTTATGCTCCACTGTTACTCAGACTCAGATTGGGCAGGAGATCAGGAGAAGCGTCGTTCCACAGGTGGATATTTATTTCTGTTAGCTCAGGCAGCTATATCATGGAAATCCTAAAAGCAATGCCTTGTCACCTAGTCCTCGACAGAAGCGGAATATGTAACTGCATCTGAGGCTGCCACAGAAGCCAAGTGGCTTCAACACATGTTTTCAGACCTTATACTTGGACTAAGTATTCAGGATCTAAAATTGAATGACTCCACACTCCCGCTTGTCTTCTTCCTTGCCCCACTCAACAGAGTTGATGACTCAGATCAAGTACATAGTACAAATATACGAAGATCTGGATCTGACAACATCCCGCCTATTCAACTCTTCCTAGACAATCAAAGTGCAATACATCTTGCTTGGAATCCGAAATTCCATAATTGATCCTAACATATTGATGTGAAGTACCACTTCATTCGCGATTGTTGCGATGAAGGAATTATCATTCAATCCTATATTGCAACTGGCAACATCCCTGCCGATGGTCTTACAAAGTTACTTCCTTCCATCACAGATCTGAAACATGCACAATCAACCAGTCTAGTGGCATCTAGGTAGTTGAGACTACTTGGTTTCTGTGGGAGCTCTTTCTTTGATCTCCATCTTTGTTATATTTCTTAAAGTCCTTACTTTTCTCAAGTTAATATGGTAACACTCTTTTCCTACTCTTAGTATTTTTTTACTCACAGAGGTTTTTTACTAAAGAGTTAGGTTTTTAATGAGGTTACCAAACAGATGTAACTAGATCCTCTTTCTGCCATCCCTTCCTAGCTTTTGTGTTTTTCATTTCCTACTATTGGGCTTCCATATTAGTCCTTATGATTGTTTTGGCTTACATGGAAGTGCGGGAGTGTTGTAATAGTGACCCGTACAACTGCTACTTGTAGTATAGTTATGGGTCTGAGTTTTCATGACGCTAGAAAAACTCTGCACGCTAGGCTCAAGTATAAAGAGGTGCTCTGTCCTCTTTCTGAATAGACAATGACGATTCTTCTTTCAATTCCAACGCTGTTGCTACAGCAACAGCGATACAATACACGAGTGACGAACGATGAAGCAAAATACCAAGCAACTCGCAATGAAAATGATCGCACACTCAAGCGTGGAGAAAATAATTTCACCACAACCACAGGCTCACCATCAACGATAGCTACTCTCAACTAACTAATCAGCGAGCATGGGAGTATACACCAACAGTAACACCCTATCCCTCCATGAGCCACTGGGCTACTCCATGTGAGTCTCCCCTTCTTCTTTCATAACTCCCAGGCTGACAAAAGAAAACACAATTACCGCTTCTCACAACCTCCACATCCTTTTCATCAGGGTAAAAAACCCTTTTACAACCTTTTCGATTTCCTTCCCGCTATCCTTGCAGCCTCTCCGCTTCCATTCTGATGGCCGTATTCCTGCATAGGAAATCCTTTCCTGAACGTCCAAGCACACACTGGAACCCGAAGCCATATGCCCGAATCCGTAGCCCAATTCTGAAGACAAACCCACACCCGAAGCCATGGCCATATGGCCGAATCCTCAGCCCATTTCTGAAGCCAACCCATGCCCGAAGTCGAAGCCATATGCCCCAATCCTCAGCGCATTTCCGAAAGCTATAATTGCATAGTATTACACCTTCCTTGCCCTCAGATACTAATCTGGATTCATTTCCATTGTTCATTAAGCCATCGGTACTAGACTACTCCGCTGTGCTAGCCAACCCTCGAGAGTACATCCGGCTTCGACACAAATACAGCATGATTACAACGCTCCCGTGATACCACCGCTCACTTTGCACCCCGTGAAAGCCATTTTGTGTCCCACTCACTTAAGCCGCATGACCACAAAGCTATTTGAACTTATTACAGCACATAGCTCACCCCTCCTTCAACCCAACTTTTGCCTCCCTCAAACATCAAAATTCCAAATCTCCCAACCCAGACCATCCAGCTAAATTCACATTAAGCCCAAGTCTAACAAATCCAGAGCTAAGCGGAACAGGATTTCAAACTACAACAAAAGCATTCCCCTGCCTCGTCCTCAAGCTCCGTCCTTTCTCCAATACTTATGCTCTGCAAATGTATCACATTGTTCCCATACGCCAGCTGCTTTTAGCAGTTTTTTTCCCCGTCGATTCGCCCTATACTGTGCCGTCCCGGGTAGGGATTTTTCAATTAATTTTCCTAGGACCGGTAGCCTAAGCGTTATCGGATCGGTTGGTTTCATATCCTTTGGAACATCTTCGCCAAAGATGTCCTTCATGGAGATTTGAAATAGGCAACGTGCCCCAGAGTTAGCAGCTGTCGGGGGTAGAATTGCGGTACTAAATACTTTGGTGATGTCCTTGTAGTCCTCGTTGGCGCAATAGACATAGAGTGATGCTTTTAAATTCCCGATTAAGGGCGTTCCCAGCTCCTCGTGCCTATTCAGGTCAAGTAACTGGCTGGAGAGATCATGAACCTTTGTCGACTCATTTATGCTTTTTATGAGTGCTCGCTCTCCCGACTGCTGCCCCCCAGTTCCGGTCGCATCTTCTGATGCCTTGCTGGTTGGGTCTGTCTCGCTGGTTGGGTCCGTCTTGCTCTTTGTATGGGTGTCAGTAAAGCAGGTCATGATAACAAATTTTGTCTGACCTCCCGTGTTTAGAAGCCAAAGTTTGGCATCGGTTTTTAAATCCTCCAGTTTCTCCAGCCACCCAGCCTCACATACTACCACCGGAAAGTCTGGGCCTTCTAATTGAACGCCGGCATCAGGCAGTTTCTCTGTTGACCCACACCAATCCCCTTCAAATCTAGTAAAAGCTAAAACATTATTAGTTAAATTTCATAAATAATTCATCCACTGGCATTTACTTACAAGTGCCCGAACCTGTAGTGACTAGCTGTTGGGCTGTTAATAACCCAACTTTTTCGACAAATGTTCCAAAAATGGTTTGCGTAAAGAAGTACTGCAATGAGTCGTGCATCGGAGTGGGCATACATTTTATTATTAATCGCTGTGAGAGGAAGTTGTACTCGTATCAGAAGTCCTTGTGCTCAACCACTTCTGGAATTTGACTGATCCAATGGGGTAGCTCTTTATCTGAAATATTTTGAAAATGCACGTCGCCTTCTGACATTTCACGGGGTTCAGGAATTTTCTTCAAATCAAGATCTCGGATAGCAACGGTCAGTTCCATGGCTCTCATGAGGTTCTGTGGAAACTTGGGGAGTAGGAGATCTTTATCGCAAGGGATAAAGATTGGCAGGACGGGAGTGCCTTTAGTCTCCAATTGAATACGGGGCAGCGGTGGTTTTATAGACGGTGCCAGTGGAGGGGATCCTATTTTTCGTTTGACCGGTCTTAGTAACTAGAGTTTGTTACGGGGCCTCTGGGGCCCCGAAAACTGGGGGTCCCTGCCCCCGTTCCCCGCCCCGCCCCAGCGTTTGACCCGGGGGGGGGTCTATTTTCTCCTCCATTCCCTCCCTGGCCCTCCCCGGCCCCCCGCCCTGGCCACCCCCTGTACGGGGCCCCGCTACTGCTCCCACCAAATTATATGGCTGGGAGCACAAGTTGGGGTCGCCCGGCAGCCCCCGTGCGGGGGGGCGGGGTGGGGAGGGGGGAGTTTGGCGGCGCTCCGTGGCCGTAACGGGGCGGGGAGAACTTGCGGAAACCAGCCCCGCCCCGCCCCGTAACGAACACTATTGATAACCTGGGAACATGTGATTGATAGAAACTCAAATCACAATCCCTATGGTAGAGGGGGCTTCAAGAGTTACCACCATGGCCACCCCCCGCACTACTAGGCTCCCGGTAGCCTGAATTTAGATGTAGCCCATTTGACTACATAATTGAATAGACAGAAATAGTAACGGGAGTTATGTCCTAAACTCCGAAATGATAAAAAAAGAGAAACTGAAATGAACCGAGATGGTTAATCTAATGGGTTTCTGGTAGCCCCTCGCTTCAAAAGTCTGGAATCGTATCACTGCAGTTGAAGGATCGGGTGTCAAAGTACGAAAGAAACTCAAACGCGAGAAGGGGAGCGAGAAAACTGGGAGGACAGCGAGGAGAAGAGGGAGAGGATAGAGGTAGGTGGGGGAGGGGGTATTATTCTGTATACACGTAAGGATTTCAGGCCCCAGTGCTCAGCAGCGAGGCTTGGCGAATATGTGCTGCCTCGTTGAGCGCTCACCCGGTCTGCTACCGTAGTTCTTCACATCTCTGCCTTAATAGCTTAAAATCTTATGTGATAGAATTACATGAAGATCTACTCGTGTCCCCACACCGGGGCAGCAATCCACTTCAATACTACGGCAATTCACCTCCCCCCAGCTCCACAAGAATATCTGCCACCAGCAACCGATCCTGCGCCCATAATTCCTCGCCCCTCGCTCCGCCATTCCTAAAACAGTATAGAAGAAAATAAAGTGAAAGCGGATTCCCATCCTGGGTTTGAAAATGGCAAGGTACCACAGAACCTCCAATAAAATACATCTACATTATGTGGATCAAAAATCAATCACGTAATAGGTCTAGGCAGAGTGGAAAAAATTTAATGAGGCAGAGAAGCCACCTCTACACCTACCGGTTTAGTTCAATAAGAAGTAAACGTAGCGCGTCGCCTTAGGACAAGACTGAGGTCGTGGATATTGTCTTGAGCAGGTTGAAATTCTTTAACAAGACAATCCCACCACTTTGTCTTGCTGGTCAAGGGTGTGAAACGCCACCTTCACCTTCTCGATCCACTCCCCAGCGGGAGACAATATTCTCATCTTTTCAGGCCCTTTAACCTTGACCCAGTTATATCATCCAGGCGGTATTTACACAGAAACTGAAGCATTGCAGAGGTGAGCTTTTGGGAAGCAGGTACAGTCGAGTCCGCGGCGTAGATGGGGGCCCATGAGATGAGCAGATTCTAACTAAAATTGAACCTTATCGCCACAAGATATGGTGAGGAAACACAATACTTGATAGGGAGAGGAAGCTCCCTCTTATTTCGGTTCGTCAGAAGCTATAAAATATTAGTCTTTAGGCATCTCCACCAGACCCATTAAGGAATAGCATACGGAAAATCGATCCAAAAACTGCTGCTCATCCCCATTTGTGTATGTGCTCTCTATAGCCTCCCGATAACCTCAGTTCTCTCCTGGGCTAGAGCAGATAGGGTCTTCCCGAACAACCACAATCCCTGTCACTTGTTCGCCATTCTCATAATCGATTTCTTGAACATAAACCCCGCGCCTAACATCCTGCCCATATCCGAAGAATCGAACCTTTCTTTCGGCAAAAGAAAACTGCACTTCTTTCATCCTGCCGTATATTGTAACCCTACAGAGTGAATCGGGTGCCATACAGCCATCGAAGTGTGCAGTAGCAAAATCATGGGTCAAAATACCCATTTCTCCTGGGCGAGAGGCTATTGTCTTCGATGGTCCAAGCTTTTCAACTAAGGCCACGAAAACAGTTTCATAAATCTTTTTTTGCAAGGAGTCATACCTGGCAAGTGGCATGCATTTAATCATGAGACTTTCAGAGAGGAAATTGTATTCATGTCCTACTTTGGTCCTTTCAAGGATTTCTGGATATTTCTTCCTCCATTCGTGAATATCATTTGGAGAAACACCAGGAAAAATTATGCTACCTTCATGATCTGGTTCCAACTTTAATATTTGCTGTGGGGGGGGGACCGCTTGCTGAGACTCAAGGTTGGTTGAATAACAATAGAAGGTCCTGATTTGAAGAGAGATGGTAGTAGATTGGTAGCAGTATAACTAGCTGTTAGTATAATGATGGTTGTTGGTGATGGAATAAGTACGGCGGAGAGCTTATTCGGGTAGGAAGATGGTGTTTTTGGTGATCTCCGGATACTGGAATTAGCTTCTCAAGTGGCATACTTAGGCATCCGAGGAGAGAAGAAGCCACCTCGGACCAGACCCTCCAAGGGAATGACGCCTTCAAGTTTATCCCTTGAGCCCCAGTGCTGACATTCGCCAAGACCGCACGTACTCAGGATGTGCTTAATAATGCTATTGTCTCAATTGATACAAAGAAAACGGTAGAGTCTGGGGAGATGAAAATCAACAATTGAGTTAAGTAGTAGTTGGAGGGATGAGAATAGAGAGAGGGGAAAAGCAGGGTAGAGAAGAAGGGGGGAGAAAGGCTGTTATCGAAAGTATATATGTATGGGTTTCCACTATCTAAAATAATTTTGAGAACAGCTCATCTGATTAAATCATAGGAAAATAAGATGAAATAGCGTGGTTGTGGAAGCAGAAAAAGGTCATGGCAAGATCCTGGAGAAAGTGAAAATTGAAGTATGTCAGACAAACCACTATAATTGTCAACTCTCTTGATGGGGGCTCTTGTGGAATGTCATTTCTGTAGCTAACTCAGGTCCAATGGGGATATACAAACTGTGGTTATATTGCTTCTGTTGTTCAGGGGGGAAAGGAAGTGCAGACACCTGATGTTTGACCTCCTAGGGAGAGTGTTAGCACTATTGGTGGTTATGGATTCAGTAGTTTTACACCTTCTTGACAAGCTTCTCGTTAATAATCACTTTCACAGCTTCTCATCTTTCCACTAATTCCCTTGAATACCCTTGACTTGTTGAGGAACCCAGTGTTCTTCCTCCATGTGGGTTCTATGACACCCACTCCTGTCCAGTTATCCCATCACGGAATCCTTGTATCAGTTGCTTGGTTACCCTTCTAAGTTCTCACAGATCTCTCTCTTATTCTCTCCCTTGAACTCTGTAAAAATATTGTCCCCTGTGAAAGGCTGCCTTACAAATTCCCATTGATGAAGATCTAGGTCATTCTTCCACTCAGCTGGTACCAGATTGATGTCTCCTTCATCATTCTCATCCCCTTCTCCATCCCCGCTATCACAATCAGTGCTAGCTTTGGCCTTGGACAGAGCAGATTTAAGCATAGCGTCCACATCAATTCCAATATCACATTTTGGGCCATTACGGTCTTTGAGAGCCTGGGTTTACTCTCCTCCATGTAACCTTGGCATTTTACATCAACCTAAGGCCTATCAACTTATGCTTGTTGTGTGAAATTTTGACAGAGACCTTTTCATTCTCCTACCATTCCAGCTGTTCAAGTAAGTACTGCTCGACATCCTGCTCATCTTTGCCTAACAAGCCATCTTCATTATCATTTGCACTACTCACCAGCACCTCGTCATCCCCAAGAATTGACTTTCCAACAGTCCTCATTTGAATCTCCTCTGAGCGCTTTGCCTTTTCCACTGCACCCTCCTATGCCTCCTTATTCCACATCATCATCCCAAATTCATTCATGCCCTTGGACGACTTGCTCTGCTGCTGTCTCAAAGTAATCTGCTCTTCCGCCCTCTTTCTCTCACTCTCTACAATATCTTCTGCCATCAGCACTTGGCCATTCTCAAGCCCTAGTACCTCTTCGGGGTAGTCTTTTTCAGCTTTACTTCCTCTTTTTGGAGAACCCTACAGTACGATTTTGACCTCACTTACTTGGTATATTCTCCCTTGACCCCTTCCTGGTACAGCAGCTCGCGTGCAAGCCAAAGCTCAGCTGTAAATTTCTGAAATTCCTCTACAACCGTTTTACTCTTCTTTAGTTCTATAAATTCCTTGATTGAAATGTCTGAAGCTGTGTTAGACTACTTCAGAATTACAGAGATAGTAACTCTCTTCAGCACTGACAACCATGGGTTACGAGAAGTAGCTAATAGTAAATACAGATAATCTACCTATTGGTTATATTTCACTCTTTCCAGTAAGTGCACGCCTGTTTTGACTTCTCTCATATGCTGTTGCCTGATCTAACTTGTCCTGTGGCCTCTCTGCCAATAGGACTGAGAGCCTCCCCTGTGTTCCCGACTTAGTGGATTTTAGTGACCCATTGTTGGCAATGAGCTTGAGCATTGTTTCAGCTTGGGATTGGTGACAGCGGGTGTGAGGTCCTTTCCACTGAGCCTATCAGAGGTTTAATATATAGTTAAATTGTACTTGTTCAGCGCCCTCTCTTCGGTAGAATTATTTTCTAGAGCTCTCTTGGACAATCTCATCACCAAAGGAAGCAAAGATGTAATCTCATGAAGGTTTTCAACTTTCAAAGGATCTTCTGGAGTTTCGTCCTCTTCTCTAGAGAAATCAGCTATCGATTCTCCATTGCCCTCAGATTCTAATTCTGATTCACTGCCCATAGAGTTATTACTAAACTCATTACCCTCTTCTTATTCATGGTTAGGGAGCTGCTGCTAAGATCTCCCTTTCACTATGTCAATGATGCATATTAATGGTTGACTTTGTTGGTTTTAAGAGTGATGTTGATAATGCCTGGACCAAAGGGGAAGGCATCATCTGAATTGTGAGATAGAAGCTGTACGTTCACAGGGGATAAATGCTTTCATTCAAAATGGATACGGCCACATTATAATGGGTAATTTGAATCTCGCGATGGCATTGTGTTATTGCTGGGCCTCAAGCCTTCCTCCATGTTCTTAATTGCATATATCTGAGAACATCCCTTTTCCCTTTTCGTGATAGTGTTAAATATTGATTATTTATCTTTTCTACACTAACTCACTTTTTCTATAATTCCTCATCTTTACTCACTTTTTGTAGCATTTTGATGTTTACACACTATTCTCTGAGGTTGGAATTGCCTTTTGTCTTAGAGGTAACCTTTATTTAAGACACTAATATGTGGCACTCTTATGTTCCAAACTCAAAATCAGCTTCGTAGCACCCCGTCTAGTGCTTCGAGTTCTTTTGATAGGCACTCTCATGGTTGCATTGAATACTCCATTTAGTCCAATTCACTACTTTCATAGGTGTCTGGGCCTCTTACTGGGTTTCCTCTAGAGTTAGGTTTTCAATTGAGTTTGATTTTCTTTCTTTCCCTTCTATAGTCTCTCTTTACCTCCGCTATCTTATAAGGGAAGGCAGAATCAGTCTGGGATTTGAACTACCAGCTCATGGTGAGAATATGCATGACAAGTATTCATTCACAACATAGAACCCTGATAGATCTGATTGGGAATTTAGCCCCTCCGTGCTATACATTCCTCCCTTTTCTTGTACCTCCTTTTCCCATTGCCTTCGACCTACCTCCACTCCCAGCTGCACCTCCTGATCGTAATTGGAAGGAAAAAACTTTTGCTACAACCTGATGCAATCTACTTTGACTACGAATTCTCATCACTGTCGCAGATATTATAGAAAGGTATTTACCGTATGCTCGCCACTCTTTCAAGACACCTAAATTCACAATTACGCCTACCCATAAGACGAAATGCGGAAATAGTGGAGAGTGTGAGGAGGTATTTCCATGATCACAGTTATTTTATCAAAATCGGAGAGGCTCATGTTATACCTATCGTCCAGCAGTCTAATACGAATAACTACGGTATCAGGATGGGAACTCTGAAGGCTACGTTATATATGGGAAAAAAGAGGAGAGTGGGAAGAAGTAGGAGAATCCATGATATATCACAACGTT